CAGATTTCAAAATTTCAACACGAAAAATAGTTTATTGAGCGTTATCATTAATTTGTTTCACTTAAATTTGTACAAATATTTATAATAAATGAAAATATTAATTAGAGAAATATTTTTCTGCCAAGAATGTCATTATGAAAAATGTTAATTATTAACGATTTTTACATCTCTGTTTCGAAAATTGTCAGCTTTCTAAATAAGTATTACCAATGTACCAATAAAAGGTATGTGCAGAAATTATTACATATGTACATACCTATATATCTACGTTAAAATAAGTAAACAAATTTAAGCGCTTCTACTTCTAACTTTAGATATATACATTTTATTATTTATTAATAAAAATTCTTAATACAAGTTTCTTCGTACTTTTTTCTTCGCTATTGGGTCAAGCATTTAATAAAGATTCTAAAACCTGATTTGTGGGTTTGTGGTGGTTTCTACCATTTACAATAAGTTGCAAATTATCAACTTTTCTCAAAAAAAGATTTAACAAATCTGTGTGCAAACCCCTTTTTATTTTAGTGTGGTATAATCGAAAAAAAAATGTGGTAGATTTGAATAAGATGTGGTAGATTTTCCAATTCATATTTTATTGGGTATACATATCGCTCACCGTCGTCAAAAGAAGCACAACTCAAAAATTAAATCGGGAAATATAATTGCTAGTGGATCGTACAGATTCCACGCAATTGGTGCAAAAACAAGTATAACATTAATTTTCTAGTTAGAGAATATAATCATGAAGAAAAGAATATTTTATTTGTATGCAAAAAAATCGACCAAATTATTTTCCCATTGCATAATACTTTAGCAAATATAAATAGGCGTATTTTTGAAATATTAGAAAGTTAAGGCACAGATATATTTAAAGCAAAATTTATGATGTACCTTTTTAAAAATCTATTGATTAATTTGAATTTGATAATTGAATTAATTTTTATATTTCGAATTACAATTGAGTTGAAATTCTAGAGTTATGGGAAAATTGTAAACAAATGTTCTGTCTAAAATGTGGTAGATTTTAAGCCTTGTGTGGTAGATGTGGTAGACACCCAAATTTAAAAAAAAATACGTGGTTGATCTACCACGCATGTGGTAGAAGCTTGCACACTGTTCTAAACGTATGTTTTGAGCAAATTGATGTTTAAAGCTAGCAATATATCCCATGTCCATTTTCCAAAACTATAATAATAAACATGGCAGTTTTTTAGCAATTTGGTTCCTGTAATTAAGGAAATTTTGTAGTTTTGGCATTTTTCGAAATTACCATTTTATGAGAGGGACCAGGTTATTGTTCGATTTTTGTATTTTCAATACCCTGCTGCCCTAGATAAAAAAACCCTCGTACAGAATTTGGTTGAGATATCTCAACTTTTGCTAGAGTTATCGTGTACGCAAATAAACGGGCATGGACTAATCATCTTCCCTTTTTATTCTGAGCATTTTTATGTATATATACATACATAAGTAGTACATACGAACATAAATGTATGTATCCATATCGATTAATTTTGGTTGTTCCAAATATACGTTATTTGAAAAAAAGTTATGGTACCCTCTTGCAGAACTGCGTTGTAAATATGTTTAGGAAACATTTAAATTAATAGTTAATTAAAAAAGTTGCTCAAAGTAATGGAACTCCTCAACCCCTTTAAAAAAAAAAACAGGAACCCTTCTGAAATTTTGTTTTGAAAGTTTTCATATTTGAAAACTGAAAAAAATCACAGTATACAGCAAACCAGCCATTGACAATATGCTTATTTGAAAACTAATACATGAAATGTTGTGAATATATAGGATTTTTTTGTCATTAACCCATAGGCAACAACTGGTGCAAAAGTACCTACAAATGTTTGTTGATATATTTGAAATGTAAATTTGAACAGCAAAATTCGTAAAACAAATTATAATAAAACAAAAATATTGTTAATTACTACGTGGGAGGTGGGCGTGGTTATTGGCAGATTTCGACAAAATTTAACACTAACCTAAATTATACCAAAGGCAACTTCGACACCGACTTTCGTTAAAATAACTAAATTTTGTTCGAGTTAGCGTGTTTACAAACAGAGAGGGCTGAACTAGTTCATCTCGTCATTCTGAATATATGTGTATATACGTACATACATTTTATACGGTTAACAAACGCGCTCGCTTATCTGCATAAACCGTCTTTACTTGCATTAATTCATGCATTATCCTCTTTCAAATGTGAATAATCGGCTGAACAAATACACACAAATTACGGGCATTTGGAAATTGGAGAGTTGTACCATAAGCTAAGTAATACTTCTTTTACCGCCTAATCGATGGGACCATTTTACAAAGTCAGCCCACCATTATTCACTCAAAGTTGTGTTCAGAACACGGTTTACTTATGTAGGAACTGCATCCGGTCATAATTGCTAACGCTTCACGCTTCATTTGCTTGGAATTTCGTGTTTCTCGTTATTTCATTTTATGTGACTTGGAAATATTTTTCACTATAAGAAAATATTTAAATTGGATTTCATTTGGGTTAACGAAAACGACAACTGTGAAAAAATATCAACCAATACATTCAAACAAAATGTCAAATAAGCATGTTTACATTTTTTGTTTTGGCTACCTGGATCACTGTATACTGTGAAAAAAATATTTAGTACAAAAATAATTGTGATAAATCAATTTTGTATATTCTTCTGCGAAAAAATGTCTACAATCGATGATGTATATGTATACATATCAAGATGTGTCTGTTTTGCTCTACAGTTGCGATAAGTTGCTTTGGAATAAATAATATTGCACGAGTCATTGGCTTTGGGTTAGTGGCAGAAAACTTCAATACATAAGTACATATACTTTGAAATAAAATATTTGTTTTTGTTTCAATTCCAGATATGTTAAAACTTTAAAGTATAAAATATATCAACCCTGGGAACAAATTATTGGTACTGAATGGTAAAAAAAAGTGTGCATTCATTCTAAATATACAATCATGTGTGAGTGCGAATGCTGCTGAACATTCACATTCTATACTGAATGGCAATCTAGCATTCAATAACAAAACACAGTTTGTTTGTTTTAAAATATTTTAAGCCACTCAGGAATGAAGTTTTTATTTATACAAACCAACAATCAACATTTTGAAAGGAATGCCGAGTGAATGCAGACTATGTTGATTCAATCATTTTACAGCTCTGATTACAGTTTCCTTTTTATTTTAAATATAATTTGAAAAAGTTAACACAGAGTGGTAAAGTTAGCAAAGTTTAGATTTTTTTTATATCGTAAACACCTTTTTACTTTTGGTGCGCCATCTGCCGGAAAAGTTTGAAAGCATTGTCTTTGCTATCGTTACCACCCTGTGTGTACTTTTCCAAGCGCGTGCGAGGCGAAATGCGAATATAAACCGGAAACAGAGTATTTACCCAAAAGTATGATCAAATATCGGTAAATATCTCTAAGAAGCATAATCCTTACCTATCTGCGAGAGGGAAATGCAATATGTATTAACGCGTCGCATATCCACAAAATCACTTGGCCGTTCGCATTGAAGATTACGATATGTTTTTATACAATCTCCGCAATTGAAAATTATAGCCGTCTTCGTTTCGCCACTTCCTTGTTTGCCTTTTTCTTTGAACTCCACTCGCTTAAAGAACAATTTTCTATAGCCGTCAACGATTGGCCACTTCACTGCTTGCTATGTTTGAGTTCCAGTCGCTTGACGAAAAATTTTCCATGTGAAAGCAGCAACAAAGTTAGCTATCAGCGATGGACGACAGCGAGTTTGGGTGTACCTCATTGAGTTCGTTCGCTTCGCCACTCGCCACTCGCCAAGTCTTGGCAAATCGATGGCGGCTTAAGTATGTATGTATTCTTAAACCAATTACACAGTGCAACAGCATTTTTGGGGGCGGAATGTTTCCAACTCAGGATGAAAGATCCTAGACCGATATATTAAAACCTTCAAATATATTTGTAATATCAGGACAACAATATGTAATTTGAATACATAACATACAAACCTATAGTAAAATTTCACGGGGAATAATTTTGTAGAACATTTTAATCCATTAGCTCTCACACTAAAGGCTCCTTTTGACTCATTTTTAGAGTGTCTGAATAAAGTGGCATTTGGGAAGTCGCTAGAGGTTTAAATTGTTCTAGAAAATTGTTCACCGGAAAATTTCACTTGGGGTATTCTCAGGCAAAATCCTTGTACAAAAAAAAAACAATTCCACAGAAAAAAAAACAAATATATTTATTATAGAGCAAAACTGAATACATGGTGGGTTTTGTGAAATATTTGCAAGGTTTTTTAAGTAAAAATTGTTTGTTATTTTTTTATAAAGATATGGTTCATGCTTTAACCAAAACCATAAAACTCGAACTTACAACTTTTATACGGAGCTTTCAAAAATTCAACAAAGTTTTATCTAATAATAAATAAATGTTTATTTAATATGTCTGTATGTATTTCCTTTTTATTTTTTGTAGACTTTTAGATAGTTTGTAGAAAGATTTTGTCCGAGATATCCCCTAATAAAATTTTCTGGCGAATAATTTTCTAGAACAGTTTAACCCTTTAGCGACCTCCCAAGTGCAATTTTATGCAAACTTTTCAAAAAACAAACCAAAACCAAAACGACCCTTTAGTAAGAGAGATAAGGGGTTAAAATGTTCTACGCAATTATTCCTTATAAAATTTTACTATGTATATCGATGGCTGAGTGGAAGATCAACCTATCTCGGTAGCCAGTTCGAAAACGCCCTATGTCGAAAATGTTTTCAAGAACGGCCTACTTTAGAATTTGATTGAAGAACACCCTATCTTAGAATTCGGTTCAAAAACGCCCTATTTCAGCTGAAACGCCATTTCAAATGTGCTGAAATAGGGCGATATTGAAAAGTTTTCTGAATGAATATTAAATATTTCGTTCAGATATAAATTTTAACAATTTTAACCATTTTTTCCAGGCAAAATATTAAAAATTTAATGTGGCCATAAAAAAATTTTACCTGAGAATGCAAAAAGATGTGGTTTTATTATATTCTTTCTTCCTGATTTGGAATAATTCCGCTCCCAAACAATGACTCTAAAATTGTTGCACAGTGTTATTTAATCGCTAGTCTCAATTCGAACACATGACAGAAAGCGTCGAATGAGAAGGACAAGAGGACATACTTTAAGTATGTGGGTTGGGTTCATGATAGGCCTGGGTAACGGCGCAAATTTTTTGGCACTGACACACTAACTCCAGCGCCACTGTCGGAATCAGCACAGTGTGTTGGCGCAATTGCGCCTCTTCAGGCTAAAGCTCATTTCCTTTATTGCTGCACGCTGCACCAAAGTGAATTAATACAAGGTGATATCGGTTGAGAAAAATCTCAAGTATACCCAAGTTCAAAACCCAAAAATACAACAAACCCATCATTTTCACATTCAGAAGGACCGCGACGAATTCTAGCTGTGCTGCACATTTTACAAGAGACACTTCTATTTCGGGTGTTCGTTGCTGGTTCTTGGCGACACCGGGTGTTGTCAGTGTTCCGGTGTTGAACTAAGGTGAATTAATACAAGGTGGTATCGCTTGGGCAAAAACAAGCCAAGTTCAAAACCCAAAAATACAACAAACACATAATTTTCACATTCAGAAGGACCGCGGCTATTTTAGCAACACCACCTTGTAAAAATTCGCCTTGTGCTGCACATTTTACAAGTGACACTTCGCTTTTGTGTGCTCTTTGCTGGTTCTTTGCGCCGCCCGGTGTTGCTGGCGCCATTGCGTCACAGAGTTGTGAAAATTGGTATCGGCGCCAGTAACTCAGCTCTCGGTATCAGCGCAATGGCGCGGCGCCGCACTGTGTTACCCACGGCTAGTTCATGATATAACGTTAATCCAATTAATTTGAAATCATATATGCATGTACCTGCATTTATAATTTTTTATTCCATTTTAATATTTTATAGCATTAAAAGGTCAAAGTATTGGTTACAAATACATAAAATAACAATAATGTGCTCATAAAATATACGAATATACATATGTATATTATTCGGTAATATGTCAGATTAAACATTTCTTCAGCTACATATAATGTGGTTTAATTTTTGGCATACAATTTTCTATAAACGAAGCTTAGTATGCATACTGTAGATAGACAAATAACAAGTAATTCCAACTTCGACGAATTTCAAAGGCAACGGTTATTTATTTATTAAATAGTATTAATATATGTATGAATATAGCACGTTTGTTAGAGACTACATATCAGTAAGAAATACAACAGGTGTATCTACGCACCGATGTATTGGGTTAACATACAAGATTTACGAATTCAAGTTTTTATTGGACGAACTTTGGCTGTTACTTTTAAGTTTATTTTTAATAAAAAAAAAATCACAAATCCATAAGTTTATTTTGGGGAATTACCTGCATACAGACATATGTTTGTCATATCATATATATAAAATTTATATAGGTTTCTATTTATATATATGATGATGTTTGTATGTATGTATGTGCAACCATCAGAATTATTCACCAACTGACACTTTCGATGCCTAATTTAATTATTGTCAGAGAAAAATTAATTTTGTAGCGAATTAAGCTTTTGAAAATACAGTACGTACTTATTAATAGACATTTATTTATCTGTATACTTTTTCCAATGTTAATACATACATATATTAATAACATAATAATGTTTAAAGAACACATTCTTTATTCGAAACATGCTTCATAAAAATTTAACAATTTGTGTCTTAGTAAAAGCCTTTTTTTATTAAATTAATATTGTAATAATGTATGTATGTAGGTACTAATCTTTGATTTAATGTCTTGGATTTTTTTTTTGTCTTAAAATGAACTTTACAGAAAATGTATATGAAATATATAAGTAAAGCTAAATAATTAAAGAATTATAAAATCTATTCGCATATCCATCCATATTTAATATGGCTATAGTTTCGCCTCGCTCGCCAACAATTTCCCCAAGTCCTTCAAACGTTTTCAAATGCCTTCGGGGTCTCTGAACAGCGAGCAGCGCTGGAATCTAAAAAATAATAATAAGAGACATATTTTAGTGAGCAATAAATGGAATATAGAGTGGACTTTCAAGCAAATTTATTATTTGTTTTTTTAACAAGTCAATCTTGTAAAATAAAACCGATAGTAAGAATATCGAAATTGTTTTTACATAAATCACACGCAGTAAAACTTTCCTGACCGTTCACCCTTTCTTGGTCCCCACTTGCGTACGCTCACCACGATTCAGTCACGAGCTTTTTCACTTAACGATTTCCTGATTCAAGTGAAATGCTTAACAGAAATGAGCTATATCATAGTAATGAGCACGGTTGCCATTTTGGCCGAATTTTTTTTTCAGTTTGCTACACTGGTACATCACTTTCATATCTGGTACATTTTTGAAATCTGGTAAAACGAGATAATTGTTACTGACATCATATACCTATTTCATAATCGCACACAGGTAATTGGAAAGCATTGCAGTACAGTAGAATCGCGGAAAAGTTAACTCGTGAAAAACTTAATCGCTCGGCGGTTTCTTTTCTCGAAAAAATTTCACCCGAGCTCAATTTGTTTACGCGTATTCCCCGAATTCCTTTTGTCGTGAGCGTTTGAATTTGTGAGTCGTGTATTCTTTGTGTGTTTAAAAAATGTCAACAAAGAGGAAAAAGTCATCGCAAATCAGATATAATCTATTAAATCATCAAAAAGCTGAGATTAAAAAAATTGATCGAGGTATTTACAGAAATCGATTGGTGGATTATGGTGTATACAAAACAGTCATCTCAATAATAAAGAAAAAACGTCATGCAATTTTGGAGGCAGTGGCGAGCACATATGAAGAAGCAAACAAGAAAACTCTCCATATGCTTGTACAAATTAAATCAAAGTTTCTTTTTTTTTTTTGTAATGATGAAAACTAATGGCCTTATTCATAAAAAATAAAGTAGCTTTATAAAAGGTTTATAAATTGAAAAATGTATTAAAAAAGGTCAATTTATAAAACTCTTTAAACCTACTTTATTTTTTATGAATAAGGCCATATGTTTATTACTATATTTTTTTTTAATTTTGAAAAGCGCTTATAAAAGTTATTAATTTGAAGAAGTTAATCACCCTTGGGACATTTTGGTTAACTTTTTCGAGATTCTACCGTATAACCAATGGACTGGACTGCAGGTTCTGTGAATGGAATATATTATGCGATTTCCCACGTATCATAGGTCTAAAATTCTCATATTTCGGGGAGCGATAATCGTCTCCGTCCAGAATCTGAGACATGACACCCTCTAACACGTTCTACAGGTAGGTACTCTAAGATTGGTGTGGACTGTTATAAGGTCAGCGCAATAGATATATATACATACATAGGTCGCATTTATTCGCTCAACTAAGTTTACAATAAAAAATATATTTGTCCGTTTTTATAGAGAATTTTTGTAAAGAAAGTTTGTTCGAGCATTATAAAAAAGTTCACGAAACACGCGAAAAATTGTAAAACAAAAAAAATATTTGTAAAATATTTTAATAAAATCTATAGCTAAAACATATTTTGGTACATTTTTTACATTCTGGTACAGTTGTTGGTACACAAAATAGGAGGAAAGTAGCAACAGTGGTAATGTGTCTCAACCGAGATCCTAAGTATTTTTTTACGAGAGGATTCGCTGGTGGAAGTCAATTCAATAACTCAACTCCATGCGCACTATTGAAACTTTTAGCTGCCTGACTCGTGTTTATAATAAAAATAAAATATTGCAAGTACCGGGTGATTTTTTAAGAGCTTGATAACTTTTTTTTTAAAAAAAACGC